CCCCCCCCCCCCCCCCCCACTTTTTTTTTTGGAGACTTTTATTTCCTTATGTTGATTTCCTTTGACCTCCACAGCTGGGAGATGAACCCCTCCAACGGCCAGCCACGCCAGGCTCGAGACGAGCGTTAGAACAAGCCAACAACACCAACAACAACAACGCTGCGGCCACTAACAGGTGAATGTCTTTAGGGTTGTCTTTGTCTAGCCCTTAACCCTTAAAACCCTGAATTCTTTTTTTTTCATACCTCCCTAGAATCCTGAATTAAAATTAAGATACTAGAAAAAATTAGGTTGGTTCATTATTTTGTTTACTGTGTCTTTAATTGTTGTTAGATTTTACTGAAGTTTGAAAATGTTATTTATATATGAATGCACAGTCTGAACAAAAGGGGAAAAGGTTAAAACACTGGTTTTTAGGACCGACTCTATGAGTTAAGTCTTGTGTGTGATCCCCGACTCCATTTCAGTCAAAGTATCATTAGACCCACCCGTAGATCTAGCCTCTGGTAGCTTTAGTGGTGATCTCCTGCCAATTCCACTATCGTCAAAATCATCATTGATGTTATGCGGAACATTGCAATCGTCTTCAACGGTCATATTTATCGATACATCCGACTGGGAGACCATTATTGGGATCTGGTTAGGATAAAAAATGTCAAAAATTTTGCGGCCAGAAGATCCTGGCAGCGAAAAGTGATTAAGTTTTCTTTAAAACTCGCAAAATTTCCAAAGTTTCGGTGAAGAACTGCTCTCATGACATTATCGGTACTTTCTGCTCGTGACAGAGTCATCTGGAGTTACATCCCCTGTTTCTAGCACTGGGAATTAAACGATAAAGTCGAGCAGCGGTTACCAGCGGTATAGGAAAATACGGCGTCAGAGGTTACCAGCGGTATAGGGTTTTAAGGGTTAAGTGACTGGGACTAACAGATGTAGCATTAGGAGTTTGATTCCAAATTTAACCTTTTGAGTCCTGCTCGATGGAGCATACCAGGGTCTGTGTACCTCTTAAGTATCGACAGCTGGATATACACGGCCGCACATTCAGGCATGCGTTTATTGTGCGGCAGAAGGGTAAAGGTAGATAATGAGCGGTACACCTAATCCTTTAGGTCTAATGTCAACTTAGTTATAGGTGTGGAAGGAGTTTAGCTGAATGTTGACCCTTTTGTTGAGGGCCACAAAGTGAATGAAGTGACTCTGTTCTGGCTAGCAACAATTGGGCTCAACATAAGTTTTTAAAAACATACTTCATGAAGTTGTTAACTCTGTGTACATGGATGGAAACAACATCACAGAGTTTTGCTTTTTTCTTCTGTTCATAGATCATTTTGCAACAGGATGAGAAATACTACAAAGAAAAGATAGATTCTTATGACTTTTTCTTCTCTTCTCTTTATTCAGTCGCTCTGCAACAAGATCTGAACATCGTGGTGCCACGCCCCTCAACTCGAGACCTGCCACTGGAGCGAACAGACCTGGGTCAAAGGACATGGTGCGACCTCCGACCCGAAGTGGCAGCAGACCAGCCTCACAGGAGAGTGCTTCAAGTAAGACAAACTTTTGTATGGCTCTTGAGTGTTTAGTTAAAAGTTCATTCTTTTCCTCTTTTTTTGTGTTAAAAAAATTAATGAAAATGAAATTAGCAGTCTGCTTGTTAAGATGACAATGGAGGCCTCCAAAATAAAAGTTGTTTTATGTTAAAGTGTTCGATGGGGGGCTCCTGTGGTCTAGAGGTACGATGTTCACCTCTCATTCAATAGATCCTCGGTTCGAAACCTGACTGCAATGAAAAATTTTCTTCTCTAGAAAAATTTCTCCTTTCACCTCCTTTCGTGTTCTCTATTTATGTTCTGTCATCTGCTTTCATCTACACAGGAGAGTGCTTGAAGCAGGACAAACTTTTGTCTGGCTCTTGAGCATTAAGAGGAAAGTTACCTTCTTTTACCTTCTCATTATGTAAAAGAAAGAGAAAATGAGATCAACAGTCTGCCTGTTAGAGTGACATTAGAAGCTGTCAGAGGAAAAGTTTCTTCGTGTTAAAATATTGGATTTGTCTCACACTTTTGTGTGGCTGTTTAGTGTTAAGAGGGAAGTTAGCTTCTTTTACCCTCTCATCATGTAAAGTATAAAGAAAATGGGATTAGCAGTCTCCCTGTTAGAGTGACATGGAAGCAGCTAGAGGAAGATTTGCCGTATGATTAAAAAATGTTACAATGCAGTTTGAACCAAGAATGATCAATGGCACTGGAAGAAGAATTTGTCCTATGGATGCACTTCAGTTACAGTCAAAACTTCTCTTTCAACCACCTGTCCAAAACAATCACCTGTACAAATGACCATTTTTCTCTTCGTTCTGTGACATTTTTTTCTACCTTACTATGACACTGTTCCAGTGGACCACCTTTCAACTTGACAAGGGGTGATCTTCTTTGACAGGTTGAATTTCATTTCTATTACCTGTCATTTTGACCCTTTTCTATTTATGTCCTTCTTTAACAATGTATGACCCTTCTGTTCAAACTTTCTGTGGCCTTAGCTAAGCAGCCGTTTGATATTCTCATTCTTTTGCGCCTCAGGGAAATAAAGGTAAAGGCTCACAGCTGAGACCGGCTCTGACTCACTCAGTCCACAAGATATATAAAAATTGAGACAAAATTTTCATGTCAGAGTTCTGTTTTTATCATAGTCAAACTTACGGATACAGAAATCCCGTAAGAGAAATAAAGATAACGTCTAACCTGTTTTGGTAGTGTTAAACTCTAGCAATGCTTTTTTTTAACAGCAGGCAGTTTTGGCCAGATTGAACAGGAAAGGGTTAAATCATCAACTGATTCAGCCCGCAGCGCCACTCAGTGGCTGACTGTCTCCTGTGTTTTGCCGCAGAGTCGCTCAGAGCAGCTCATATATATTGCTCCCTTTCTTAACATCACTTTCCTCTCTTCTTTTTTCCTTACCACTTACATTTCAACCCTGTTTTCTGGTGACATTGAATAGTATTTTATTCTGAACATTTCTATATATGCCACACATAAGGTTTTAATAAAATTTAGATATTTCCATGTTAACTTTTTGTGAGACCACCTGTGAGGTCACGAAGCGGTCACAAATTATTTGTGTCCGGAGTCTAATTATCTGCGGGCTGAATCAGTAAGTGTCCCCCACCCAAACCCGAGCTATGTGGGTCCCCACAGCCAGTAGTGTTTCAAGACTGAAATTATTGAGCAATGTTTTCCCCCATCATAGGGCACATTCTGATGATAGCAGTGAAAGGGTTAATGGTTAAACTTACTTTTTTGTTTGTAAAATAATGCAGTAGAAAACTAGCATTGCTGTATAAGACATATGTTTATTGATTTATTGTGCCACAGACACCAGCTTGGGAGGAATTTTAAAAATTGTAGTAGTTGGTGGGGGGGGGCTACACCTTCTTTTATTACTGATATATCATTTCTTTTTCTTCAGAATTTGCTGATGAATTCCGGCCTGCAAGTCAGAGAAGTGACCGAGCCTACAGGCCGTCAAGCAAAGCTATGGAAAAAATTGGTCCTGGAGCAAAGTAAGTGCCATTTCCCCTAGAAAGATCTCTTTATCAATGACATGCAGACAATCTACATAACATAGTAGTGCATTTCCACTCATGAAAACCAAAGACTATTTTGAGAGAATCAAGACTGAAAATTTTGTCCCTTTACAATTTTTCCTCTCGTTTTTTGTGATAAATCATGTAATTTAGTCATATTGTTGTTTTATTGCCTGTGGCAATTGTGGCATTTGAGACAATTTTACCTTGCAACAGCTGATTTCGGACTTAAAACTATAACATGTCATTGCTGGTAGTCACAATATAACATCCTGTTAAATGGTAAATATGTCTTCCTCAAAGATCCTCCTCAGTGATAAACCATCTGAAAGCTATTTCCTTTGATATTTTGCAACCTCAGAATTACAAAGAATGTGAAATTACAAACAACTAGATTTGAGAAATTTGTCGTCAAAATTTTTTAGTTTCACAATATTATGTCAAGCTTTTTCCAATGCAGTTCTTTGAATATCTTTATAAGGTCTCTGAATATTCTTACGATTTTGATAGAGCAGATAGAGCATTTGTTTTCTGACTTCATGGTATTAGTAACTCAAAACAGTCAAAAATGTCTGGTAGAACTTTGTTATTCTAAGGAAGCGATTTGACATGTCATGCCCTCCCTCTCTTTTCAAATGTTCAAAATGTTTTAGATTTCTTTTTCTTATGAACATTTCTAGCAACCTTTTTCTTTTTTCAATTTTGTCTTATATATTCTCAAACTGTGGTTAGTAAATCAATGAGGTAAACTTCAAGCACAAAGTATGCCTGCCTATAGAAGAGGAACTCTAATTGGTCTTAGTCTTAGCCTTATGCCAAAAAATCTTTTGCGTTTGGGTTGATGAGTCCAATATTATCAACTTTCCCTGAGGTCTGACTGCTGGATCACAGAAGAGGGGATAAAGAAGAGGAAAATGAGGAAGAAGATGAGAAGGGTTTTACAAGGAAAAGGAGAAAATGAGGAAGAATTAGAAAACAAAGGCTTTTTTAATATAGTTTCTTATGTCCCCATCAACACAATTTGGATCATTTAGGAGGCTGGTTTCTGGCTCTGCCTTTTAGGGCCAACCTGGGCTTACAGGGATACACCCTAGCAGGAAGACCAAGATACTCAATAAAAAATTTTCCTAGCTTGGGAATTAAACTTGGGTCTTCTGCAAGCGAGGGTCTTCTGTGAGCAACAGCAATGAGACGATAAAAGTTAAAGAAAGGCTTTTATGTATGATGAATCGGCAGTGTTTCACTGTCTCTCCTGCAGCGTCAATGAGTACCGTAGTGCCTTTGGAGCTAAGCCGAAGATTCCTCGTACACCTGACATAGGCAACGGCTCCAGCAGGCCCATGAGTCACGCCTCTAGACGGGGTACACCGAAGGAACTTCCTCCTCAGCCACAGTTTTCAGAGTCAGGGCCACGTCCCAGCTCCGCTGGAAAGACAAGTGGTAAGTTCAACATTTCTCACCTTCATGATTCTCCTCCCATTTGGCCGGACTATTTTTGAAATCGGTACTTACGTTCAAGAATGGGATATGATTTTTTTTTAATTTCCCTTTTTTTTTTACCCTATGCTTTACTTTGGCATACTAATGCACATAAATTTGTAATCTATATGTGTCATAATGTAGTGGAATCAGACGCTTGTCAATATTTTGGTATGTAGAGTTATTGGTATCATCTGAAAGGTTATTCGTTTGCCTTGCTTTTTTTGTGTAAAAAACACCCGTCTATCTTGAATAGAAGTTGAAATATTTGCGATTGAAGGAGGTGGGGGTAGCATGGTTTCAGAGGCTAAACTTATCGAGAAAATGGCCCCCAAGGTTGTCTGACGCACATGCCATCACTGGACGCCACTTAAACACCCTGTTTTTGATATAGGTTTATAATGTCTAACTCAAGGATGGGGGCTCTCGTGGTCTAGAGGTTATGGTGTTAGCCTATCATTCTAAGGTCCTGGGTTCAAATCTGGGTAGCGACAGAAAAATTTTCTACTCTAAAATTGTCTCTTTTCGTCTCCTTTCCTGCTCTCTAGCAATATTCTGTCATCTGCTTTCGTCTCCACTTTGTGCCCCCACCCCCTTACCTCCTTTTCCCCTTCCTCTGGGCTCCTAACTCTTTCTGCAGTCTTTCTACTCCTTCTTACACACCCCTGATCTTCTGGAAGGAAAGATCTACACCTAGCCTTCTCGGACAATGGTGAAAAATCTCGGAAGTCTTGTGTGCAAGTTGCACTTGTACAAGATCCCTTGGTGGTCTAAAATTGATAAGAATAGGCTTCGGCCGCCACCCGGGCAAAATTCAAAATTTCCTGCCAACTGAAAATGTTTGATGTGTCCGGCACGCTCATATGACCTTATGCAGTTGCGAGCGCTGTAAAACACTCACTGCCCCACCCAAAAATAATTAAAAAATAAAATAAAAATAACTCAAGGATACGCCCTAAGTGACCACCCACCTAAAAACCATTATACCTATGTATGCTTGACAATTATATTGTGAGCCAGAGCTCAGCTATTACTGTGTTGAGAGAGGCAATAAACCCAAACCATATATTAATATTCCACAGCATGTTCTGACATTGCTTCCCCACCATAACAGTATTTATCCTCGTTTAGAAATTTCATTTACATTGATGTGTTATACATAATGCATATCACACCACTTAGTATGTCCACGATCAGTATAACAAACACGCCATCACTGGCAGCAGGGAGCACAGTTTTGGTATACTTTAAGGGAAGCTAGGCGTGTGAATTAGGAAGAAGGGTTGTGAATCTTAACATATTTTCTCTTTTGGGGAGGGAGGGGTTATGTTTTTTTAATGGCTGTCACCTTTATTGTTCATGAAACCTCTTACTTTTGTCAAACAGATTATGTTAGTTGTAAATAATTTATACTCCCGTCAACACCATGTATATCATTTTAGCGGGGAGCTGGTTCGAACATGATTGTAAGGGCCAATCTGGGCTGAGAAGGATTCAACCTTCCATAAAACACTTACCTACGGGAGAATGGAACTTGTATCTTCTGTGTGCCATGACAAAAAGCTTAACCGTTTTGCCACAGATGCTGGGTTCAAGTAGTTTAAAACATGAACTTTTTACAAACTTGAAAGTATAAGAGATCCTCCCCACTCCCTTTCTTAATTTTTCAGCTCCTGGAAGCCCAAGAAAAGGATCATCAGCCAGTTCAGGAAAGCCCAAAACACCTAGTCAGATGTGAGAGTTATGGAGGGTACTGGAGGTTACAGTCAACAGCCCTTTCCATTTCAAGACAAGTATAGACTTCACAACAAACAATAGAGATAACTACATCATTTGATGTGCTGTTTATACAATACTGCATTGTTAAATGGGGAGAGAACAAATGTTAAGAAAATTTTTATTGATGAGGAGAGAGTCTTGAAAAGGGAAAGTTGAAAGGCGTACAGTGCAAGAAAAGTTTCTTCTTTTTATTGTGGTGAAGAATTTGTGTGAACTTTGCTCAACAGAGAGCAACATAATACGAAGACTCATGATTAATGGCATTAATGTTCTTTCTCTTCCCCTACCTGGTGGCGACCCATGCCCTTAGTAATTGTCTTTGTTTTATTTTTTGTCTTTTTGTTGTTGGGGTTTTTTTGTGTGTGT